TTGTTTCAAGGGGGGAGATCTGAGGACATCTCTCGCTCTGCCATGTTTTTCTCCCTCCACTAGGCCATTTAATCCTCATTTAATCCAATGAAATAGGCACTATTGTCGCGCCTGTTTTAAAGATAAGAAAACAGGCACAGGGAGGTTAAGTCATGTGGCTAATAAGTGGCAGAGCCAAGATATGAACCCAGGCAGCTGGGCTGTAGAATTCTTGCTCTTAAACACTGTCCTGGGTCTGTCAACTTACTGCTGTAAAAGCTCTGTGAAAGTAACTTTAAAATTCATCCTTGTAGTGTAGGACAAAAGACTTGGTTTGTTAAAAAATTTTTTTTCAAGGCAAAATAAACAAAAAGAGGTAGAAGGGGAACCTACAGATTCAAAGAGATTCAAGAAACATACCAACCAATTACAATGTTTGACTTTATGTGTTAACGATAAATGACTTTGTCAAAAAAAATTAGAGTCCTTACTTTTTAGAGATAGTTGCTAACATATTTACAGATTATATGATGTCTGGGATTTGCTTCAAAATATTAAGAGATGGGAGTATAGATGGAACAAGATTGTCCATGTCTAATAATTGTTGAAGCTAGGTGATGGGTCCATTCCAGTTTATACTCTCCACCTTTGTTTGGAATATTCCATTATAAAAAGCTTCAAAATAAATTTTTGTTTTATTCTCATATAAATGTCAAAAGCATCATGGACTTACTTCACGGAGCTAGTGGGAAGAACAACAGTCCATACGAAGAGAGTAGGTAGGATACTACTTAGCGGATTCACCTTCTAAGGATGTCACTTATTTAAGGGTGATCCCCAGTGCTTTCCACATGGCAGATACTTAGAAGATTCTTCTGGACTGCATGAATATGTGAGCATATGAATGAACAAATGTGAATGAATTCGGTTTTCAGTGAGTTGGAGAACCATTTGGTCACAAGAACAGGAATAGAACCTAACCTCCAGGCCAAATAATATGATAAAATGATTCTGTATGTTTCACATTTAACTGAATTATGCATTTAAAGGCAGTTTTATCTACCACAATCATATATCTACCACAATCATAACAAGAACCAAAATACTCCTACACTGACTCCCTTTATCCTAGTGTACAAATGTACATGAAGAGATTTACTAACACAAAAATCTTCGCTCTGTAGCTATGTTCCCACCACTACACCTCTCAGAGCCTACACTCTGCGCCGAGCTCCACTGCCATTGTTTTTGCTTGCCCAGCCTAGCATTCATCCCAATTCTTCTGATTACCTAACACTGAGTTCCCTCTGAGGAACCATCAGTTCTCTTCTCTCCGGTCTCCAGGATTGTCTGTAACATATACATGCCAATCATAGCATAGCATTTCTATAGCCACAGTGATATGTTTAGGGATAGGCATTTGACTCAAGCCAAGTCAACCAAGCCCAGTTGCAATTCCTGGGACTTTTGTATGAGTGACTAGGAAAAAGGCATACATTTTGCCTTTGTACTTGAAGTTGTTAAGGGACATACTTACGTGAAAGGAGAGCCTACCTGATAAATTGGAGTGGAGAGATATCAGATTCTGATAACATTCTTTGAACCTGTGAATCCAGGTGTACCTGAAGCTATGCATGGTATACCATATGTGTTTTGCTAAACCTGATTCTGAAATATAACACAGTCTTCTAGTAGCAAATCACATAGGGAATGAATATTCTATTTTAAGCCTAGTGTTCCTTGCTAAGTGGAAAGAAGAGCTGTTAACTTTTATACTCTTATATTTGACTACAAACTACTATAGATGTAGACAGAGTAGAAAATTATGTCAGCTCCAGTGGTTGGGTAAAGCGTTAACAGAGATTAGGACCAATCTTTTTATCATTCCATGCATTCTTCCTTAGAGTTGAGAGAAACCAGATGACTAGACAGACTCCTGTGCAGGTGAAACTGTGGATACTTGAAAGTCTTGCCTATGTGTGTGGTAAGGTGACTTCACCCTGAGTGCTTAGCAGCCATGTTTATGCTTGGCGGTGGAATCAGACAGATCAGGGTGTGGTAATGAGTAACTGTGGGCTTTCCCCAGCTTCAGACACAGGATGAGTTCATCTTTTATCCTTCAGCCTGTAACTGCCCCAATTGGAGCTTCTGAATGGAATGATTAAGATCTCATTTTCCTATGCTGTGAATGTTCAGTAGCAATTTGACATTTGAGGAATTGAAATCTCTGGGTCTGGCGTGGTAGATCAGGGTTGATAATAACATGTCTCCTTGGATGAGGATGAGAATATTTGTCATTATACCAGCTATGAGACCTTGGGCAAGTTATTTAACTTTTGTTTAACTTCTTCATCTGTAAAAATGAGAATAATAATAGTACCTACCTCATAGGGTTGTTATGAGGTGAAATGAGTTAATAACATTTAAGCACTTTGAGTAGAGATCGGCACCTTGTAAATGTTAGCTATCTTTTATTTATGAAAATTAAAAATTTTCTGCCTCAGAAAACATTTTCTCTAGAACCTGGATATCTGATATAAAACAAAGAAAAGGCAGAAATGGGATTTATGTAATTGTGAAAAGCTCTATGACAGTATACAACACTTCTCAGATATCAGTACTTTGAAGCCATATTTTTTAGTTTTCTGATATATTAAGTCCGTAGGAAAGCTGGTTTAGAAGGTTCTCACCAGGGATGAAGGCTTTTTGTTGTTGTTTGCTTGTGTTTTTAGGGTTCTGATAGGTGACAGTCACAGGTGATGTAACTAAAATCTGTAACCACACCTACCCAGATATTGGTTTCTGTAAATCTCAGTAGTTACTATTGAGTTACTGTTGAGTTTGATGCCTATTGGCAGAGTTTGAGAGAGTTCTTTGAAATATCCAGGAGTCACAGGAAATAGTAGTAACTCAAGACTTGGATCTTGCTTTAGCCAATGTCTCAAGCAGATAATGTGAGTAATGATAACAAACAACTCCTAGTTTTTCAGAGATGAGTGGTTTTGATTTAAATTCATAAAATGCTGTTATTATAATTTTCTTGACATCCCTCCCTGCCTACCTTTTTTTCTTTTCTGTACTCTGTTGCCTGTACCACTGTCATTCCCTATCAAAGGATAGGGATGCCCTTCTTCTTGTTATCTCTGGCATGGGATTTAAAGAAAGAAAAACAATATATAGAAGGCACATTGTATGATGTTTTGCATGCAATTAAATACAATTCTCACCACAACTAGGTGAGGAAGGTTATTATTGTCCATTTTGTAAATGCTCAAAGAGGTTCAGGAACTTGGCCTATGTATATAATACACATAATATCAGGAATATATATATATATAAATAATGTGGCAGATATGGGTTGGAACCTAGGTCTGTTTGATTCTTTCCTGGGTGTTTTGGTCTCCTATTCTCAAAACTGAAGAGGGTGACCTAATCCCAATCTAGGTCTTGGGACAGAACTTTAAAAGTGCTCACACTGACTCCTAAAAAAAAAATGGTGCCCATACCGACCAACACACTAATGTTCCATTTTGGAACTTTGAGGCTCCATCAGTTTTGTAGTCTCGGTGCCTTCTTTAATTGCCACAGTCTGCCTGCCACATAGTCCACTTCTCTGTATTTGTGTTATATAGTTGTTTGTCCTTGTAGGTTATAAATATCTTCATCTTATCATCTTTGTATCCTTTACAGTAGTGTGTGAGGCTTTGAAAGCATTACACATAATTGGTTAGTATATTAAATATGTTAGTCTATAAACTTCTGTATGTGCCTAAGATAAATATTAAATAAATGAGACTTAATGAGACTCAAATAAATTTTAAGATGTTGTACTGTGAAATCTATTGAGTATGTATGTGAGTCATCTAATAAAGCAGTGCACTCTGAGGAGAAAGGCATCAGGGGCCTATGTCAGTGAAATTTCAGGGAAGAGTATCTAGCGATCAGGGGCAGGCTAGGACATTCTCTCTGAAGTAAAAGACAAACTAGTACAACTTACATCTTTCACAATGAAGATGGAAACATAAAGCTTAATAGGTCTCTTTGGGTTCTGAAGGCAGCATATTTCATACCTAAGAATACTGCTCTCTGCTTTACACCAGGTGACATGAAAAGCTGTCAGTTTTGAGGGAGTCCCAAAGCAGAAAAGGGGTCTGTTGCAGGTCAATATTGTGGTGGGAGCAGGTCTGCCACTTGGGTCATCTAACCTAGCAGACTCTGTGATATTAGAGTTATTGCTGTAGGTAAAAATTTGGAAGAAATTAAGGCAAAAACACTGTATGTATATGCTTGATTTTTCTGTCAGTTTTAATAACTAAATGTATAAAAACCACATAGAGCACATTACTAGAGAAAATACTTTATTTTTCAAATATATAATGGATTCTTCCCCCCTCAATTATTTCTGTAATAATTTTATTTTTTATTAAGTTAATATTTATTAATACATTTCCTTTTTTTTTCTCAAAGACTATGGTATAATTGTGATTATCTTTAGCAACCAAAGTCTAAAGATTTAAACTTGATATGGATAAAAATGCCATATCAAGTCCTTCATACCTGATTTGGTGCTGAGGTTGAATTAGTGTATTGGTTTGTTCCAGGATGCAGAGGCCACTCCAACTTAAAAGCAAAGTAAAACCCTTGGGCTGGCCTTGGTTGCTTGAGAAACCTCTGGATGGGGATGATTGGTTTTGCTCTGCACAGAATGGCTCTTCCCCAGGCTAAGAAATGTTCTCTGGGAACAGTGGACTGAGGTATATACTGTGTTCAGGCATTTGGGGAGGCAGGTAGGGAAGTTTCTATTTCTTACATCATATTTCCATTAGTGACCATTTGATAAAGAGCAAATGGGTTGCTCCAGGTCCTTGATGATACCAGTATTTTGCCCACAGTTATCTCTTTCAGTGATACTAAGACCAACCATAACAACAACAAACCCAAAGGCTGAGTTCACTGTGAATACAGGTAGTAAAAGTGACTGGCAACTGTGATAAGTGGCAGAAATCAGGACAACTTTTGGATGTTTTCCCGGGCTTGATTTATTCTAAGCAGCCTTTAGAGAGCTAGACTTTAGATACAGTGCTTTGGATCTATCCTTTTACTATCCTCCATTGCCCAGTGACTATAATTTTTATACTAAAAAATAGGATGAGAGAAAAAGTCTCTACCTCTGTCACAGAATATTCATAAAACCTAAGGTCATACCAAACTTCCCATTAGAATGACCATTATGAATTCAAAATTAAATAACTAAAATAAATAATGGGTAGCTAATAAGGTTTTTTTTTTTTAAGGTAGTAAAAAGGTATGACCTCAGTGATTTATTAGCAATATTGCCAATCTCTTAAATGTGGGTAAAGTCCCATTTAGAAGGAAGGTTTGTAATCCTACATAAAGATATAACATGCATTAAAACAGAAAATTCTTAAATATAAAAAATTCAAGTGACCATATCCTCCTTACTGATATTACTATAACACAAATAAAATTACAATAAACATTTTAGCACAAAATGCAGTTCATTTCCAGTTTATATATTGAAATAATTGATACTCAAATTCTAAAACTATAGCATAGACATATGAATGAGATTGATATGTGTGTGTGTGTGTGTGTGTGTGTGTGTGTGTGTACTTCAAAGTAGAATTTGGCTTTGGGCTAATAAATTTTATTCTAATCCATAATATTTATGACTCTTAATTTCAGTTGTTTTTACTAAGTAATTGGAAGCAAACCAAAATTTCTGACACTTGGATCAATCAGAAAATAGCTAAGAGTTATTATTTGTATATTCAGTAAGAAACTATTCTAAAGCTGTTTTACTTACCTATTTCTCTAAATAAAAGCTCTTAGATGGGAATCTACTCTTCTAATTAAAATATTGTAACCCTTTCTCCAATTCCTATTTCAACTGGAAGAGCCACATCATTATTTTTTAATGGTTTCTTCTATATTTTGTATTCTAAAAAATGACAGCAATATTGCTTTCTGTAAAATACCAAGGAGTGTTCAAAGTATTCATCTAGTACAGGTATTCAGATTTTGAAGATGTACTTTTATGATGAAATAATAATCATGAAACAAAATGTTCAGAAGAACTGTCAGAGTAAATAGCTATGTAAAAATCAGATTTATGACCCTTTCTACACTTTTTCAAAGCTGTGCAGGTTTATATCAAAGTGCTCCTAATGAGGAGGAAGAATGTACTGTACTGAAAAACTGAGATCTTGTCAGAGGTCTCCTTAACTTGGCTCTGGACAACTTTAAAAGCCAAAAGATCTGCACCGTATGTGTTCTCAGGGTCGGTACTATGGGATGTCTTGTAAAAAGATCTTTTGGTATTGTTGATAAGAAAAGCACCTTGGATTGGATCTAAGATGGACATGTGTTATAATGAATTCTGCTTAAATAGTAGGATACATTTAAAGTACAATTCAACACATTTACCATAAAGTGTACCTAAGTAAATAATAATAAAGTACTCCTTTGAAGTCAAAATTTAATGCTACCGAAGAAGCATCCAGTTCCTAATACTACAACTTAACATGGCTCATTTGATATCATTTCCTTAGTCTTGTGGAATTTTCCTGATCTTTTAACATCTTACAATAGTGACCTGAACTAGTTTAGGTCTAAAACACATAATTTTCACAAGTCACACAAAAACACGATAACTAGCACAAATTTCTGCATGTCTTCAAAAAGAGTCTTTGGATAACTATAATGCATAATGCTGCAGAAGATCCAAAGAAGCACTCTAAATGAGGGATATTATTTAATGATGGTAAGTAAGAATTATTTTCCAAAAATCTGTACCAATGTCAATTTTAGGTAGAATACAACATGAAATTATTTCATGAAATATAGCCTCGTTCTATGCTCTCCTGACAATACTCCCAGCAGAAAGCTTCCAGTCTATTTGCTGTTTCTTGGCTGATGAGACATTCATCCTTTAATTCTCTGATTGTCTTCCTCAGTGATTTTTGGAAACGTTTTTCTCGGTCTAAAACATTCCGCAGACTTTTCTTGGTATCCTCTAGCTCGCTGATCACATGATCTAATTTATGCTTAAGTTTCTTTGGACTGTCCATTACACTGTAGCTATGTTCCTAAAAACATAAACACCACGTTAGTAAACCAGGCAGGCAAGTAATTAGCTAAAAGCTTATAAGTAGGCTTTAGCTGTTTCTCCATTTACTATGCTTAGAGAAGATCTTTAATTTGATGATACTAAGAGGTTTAAAAAACCTAGGAAGCAGATGGGGGTGGCAGCACTATTCCAGGTGCCTAGGACCTCTTCCTTTTGTCTAAGGCTAGGCACACATGATGAGTGCAGAATTGTACGGATGGGAAGCACTTCTCACTTTTTAAGTGTCTGCTTATGAACGCCATGATGCTGACAATTACAAAACTTTTGTTCCATGAGTGTGGGGCTGCTAAGTTTAGGTTTTACCTACCAAACAAACTTAAATTGTTCAATTTGTAACTGAGTTACTTAATTTGATAAATATTTAACTTTATAAGGGAAGACAAGAAAGGAGCATTGGAGCAGATGCTCTGGCTGGGTGTTATAGATTTAGAGAGGATTCTGGCCTTGGAATTTTAAAGAGATAATTTAAGTTCTCAGTATTTATTATGGTTATGCTTACGTTTGCTGGGGATACTTTTTTTTTTCCATTTGAAAATAGGAAAAATAACACTGACATATCTTATAAAAGTCCTATAAAATAATTTTGAAAAGCTGTTAATATTAAAATTAGTGAAGAGAACTTTTTGCTTATAGTCAAATGAAATAACAGAGACTAGATTGATTCCTATCTAAAAAAACTAAGACATGGCCAAAGGCATAAAGTGTTCTGAAGATAACAGACATCAAGCAAGGAAGGAGCAATTGTGGAGAGGTGGGAAACAAGCTGAGCCCTATGACTGCCCTGGCTTACTGCCTGGAGAGAGTTGCTAGGTCTCAGTGCAAGGAGGAGATACCCAAGTAGAGTTTGGTAGACTGAGTTGAGGAGATAAGTGCAAAGCATCCAGGGAGACTAAGGTAGCTACAGCCACAGGATGAAGTACTAGTGAGGAGAAATGTGCACAGGGAGAGAACTCTGGAAATCCTCAGAGGCTTCCCCTACAGTATTCCTTCGAGTGAGATCAGAGCATATGTGGAGGAACCTGCTCACAGGTAAGGAAAGAATGACCAGAAAAGATTAAGGCTGCCCTGTGCTCATAAGGCTTAGCCGCTACTTCCACCAGATTCATAGGACATTGAGTAAAGTATACAAAAGGGTCTTGCTTCAGTAGCAGAGAACAAAATGCCTATTAAACTGAGCACTGTTCTAGTCCTGCCTAACAAAGCAAAACCTGAATGGACCAAAGTGTTTCCAAATAACTTAACTGCACCCCAGAAGAAAGCTCACAAATACAGTATACAAAAATATCCAGTATCCAGCAAAGTAAATGTGTGGCACACACAACTTACCAAGCATGCAAAGAAACAGGAAAATATGAGCCACAATAAGAGATAAACCAACCAACAGAAACCAACCCAGAACTGATGCAAATGTTAGAATTAGCAGACAAAAGAATTGAAGTTATTAAAACTGTATTCTGTACGTTCAAAAACTTAAGTAGAGAAATGAAAGACATAAAAAGGAAAAAGAACATCTAGGGATAAAAACCAGTGTGTGAGGTGAAAAATACACTGGAGGAAATTAATGGCAGAAACAGACATTTCAGAAGAAAAGATTACTGAAGGTGAAGATATAGCAATAGGAACTGTATAGAATGGACTAAGAGAGAAAAGAGAATACTAAAAAAACAGAAGAACATAGCATCAGTGAGTGGTGGCACAACCTCAGACAGCCTAATATACATGTAATTAGAATCCCCCAAGGAGAAGGAAGAAAAGTTGAGGTAGAAATAAATATTTGAAGAAATCATGGCCAAAAGTTTTCCAAGTCTGAAAAAACTATAAGCCCACAGATAAAGAAGATCAACAAATCCCAAGCACAAGAAACATGAAGAAAACTAAACTTTTTAAAGAGAGAATTTAAGTTCTCTCAATATTATTGAGGCACATCATAATCAAATTATTCAAAACTACTGGAAAAGAAAAATTCTTAAAAGAAAAAGAGATGTTAGGTACAGAGGATAAAGATAAGTACAACAGTAGATTTTTCATTAGAAACAATGCTTGTGAGAATACACTGGAGCAACATCTTTAAAGAACTAAAATCAACAAAGCCCCAAACCACCAACCTAAAATTTGATACCCCATGAAGACATCTTTCAAAAAACTAAAAATAATGAATTTTTAGGACGTATAAAAATTGAAACAATTCATCACCAGCATAATAACTGTGCTGTAAGAAATGTTAAATAGGTCCTTCCGACAGAATGATACCAGATGGAAATATAGACTTACAGAAAGGAATGAAAGGCCTTGGCAATGGCAATTACATAGGTAACCTATAAGATTTTTTTCTTATTATTTAAAGCTCTTTAAAAGATAATTTACTGTTTAAACAAAAATGGTAACAATGTAGTGTGGGGTTCACAGCATGTGTGTAAGTGAAATGTAAGACAAGCAACAGCACAAAGGTCGAAGAGCAGAAATGAAAGTATACTATTGTAAGATTCTTATATTATATGTTAAGTGGAATAATATTACTTATCACATAACCTCTGACAAGATAAAAATGGATGCTATAGACCGAAAAGCAACTACTAAAATGGAATTATAGCAAATGAGTCAAAAAAAAAAAAAAAAGATAAAATGTAATCATAAAAGAATTAAATTAATCCAAAAGAAGGCAGAAAAAGAAGAAAATGGGAACAAAGAATAAATGGAAGAAATAGAAACAAGTAAAATTACAGGTTACTTGTAAGTAAGATTACTAAACCAAACCATATCAATAATTACGCTAAGTATTAAGGATCTAAATAACTCAATTAAAAGGCAGAAAATCTCAGATAAAAAATTCAAGGCCTCAAAGATTATGATGCTTACAAAAAATGCACTTCAAAGATAAAAGACACAAATATGTTGAAAATAACAGAGTGGAAAAAGATATACTATAATGACACTAATAAAAAGAGAGGTAGAGTGGGCATATTACTATCAGACAAAGTAGACTTCGGGACAAATAATATTACTATGGATAAAGAAGGTCATTTCTTAATAATAAAGGGGTTAATTTATCAAGATAAAAAATACTAAATATTCAGTACCTAATAACAGTGCTGCTATAAAATATAACAAGTAAAAACTGACAACTGCAAGAAGAATCAGACAAACCTGCCATTACTGGAAGATTAAACACTTTTCAATAACAGAACAAGTAGACAGAAATTTAGTAATGATAAAGACTTGAACAACGTTATTGAATAATTTGACCTCATTGACATTTATAAAACATTCTAGCTAACATCATCAGGACATAAATTCTTTGCAAATGCACAGAGATCATTTGCCAAGATAGATCATATTCTAGGCTATAAGTTTCGAAAGAAAAAAAAATTAAATGCATTCAAGCCATACAATGTATATTCTCTGACCACAATAGAATTAAGTAAGAAATTAATAACAGAACAATATCTGGAAACTTCCCCAATATTTGAAAGCTATATAGCACACTTCTAAATAGCCCATGGGTCAGAGAACAAATCAATATGGAATTTCGAAATATTCTAAATTAAATGAAAGTGAAAATATAATGTATTTAATTTGTGGAAGGCTGCTAAAGCAATACTTAGGGAGAAATCAATATCAGTAAATGTCAATCTATTAGAAAAGAAGAAGCCTCAAATCAATGACTTCAGTTTCTAAATTAAGACACTAAAAAGATGAGCAAATTTTAATGAAATAATTAGAAGGAAATAATATAGATGTGTAGAAATCAGTGAAGTAGAAAACAAAACAACAGAAGAAAAGTGAGAAAGTCAACAAAAGCTAGTTCTTTGACAAAAATCAATAAAATTGATAAATCTCTAGGTAGAATGATCAGCAATAAAACAAACAATGACCATCATCAGAAATGAGAGAGATGATATCACTATAGATTCTATAGATAATAAAAGGATAATAAGGAAACATTATAAAGCTAATAAATATGACAACTGAGATGAAATGGATAAAATCCTTGGAAAATACGAACCACCAAAAAACTTTCCCACAAACAAAACTCTAGGCCTAGATAGCTTTGCTGGGAAATTCTACCAAATATTTATAGAAGAAATAATTTCAATTTTATTAAAACTCTTCCAGAAAAATCAAAAAGGGAGGCAATATTTTCTAACTCATCCTTTGAGGTCAGCATTATTCTGATACTGAAACCAGACAAAAAAGTTTAAAAGAAATAAAACTACAGGCCAATATCACTCTTGAGCATTCAAGGAAAGATTCTACACAAATTTTGACAAATCTAATCCAACAATATACAAGAAGGGTAATATATCATTAAGAAGTAGGGTTTATTCCAGGAATGCAATGCTGGTTTAACGTTAAAAAATCAATCAATGTAACTAATCATATTATGAGCTAAAAAAAAGAAAAAGGGTATGATCTCTTAACAGATACAAAAGAGTATTTGACAAAACTAACACTCTTTTCTGATAAAAACTCTCAGCAAACTAGGAATAGAAGGGCACTTCCTCAACCTAATAAAGGGCATTTATGAAAAACAGTTAATATATTCAATATCATATTAATGTCATTAACAATGAAAGACTGAATGTTTCCTTCCTAAAATAAGTAGCAAGACATGGAGATTAGCTCTTAGTATTTCTATTGGGCATAGTCCTGGAGGTTCAAGACAGTGCAATAAAACAAGAAAAAGAAATGAAAGGTATTCATATCTGAAAGGAAGTAAAACTTTTTAATGACTGACAACATGATTATCTATGTAGAAAATCTGATAGCCTCTATAAAAAAGCTTTGATTATGTTAGTTTAGTAAGTTTGACAGATACAAGATCAAAATACAAAAATCAACTTTATTTTTATAAACTAGCAGTAAATAAAACAATACCATTTATAATAGCATCCAAACATATAAAAATACTTAGGGATAAATCCAGCGAACAAAGTGAAAGACCTGTACACTGAAAACTACAAAACTTCACTATGACAAGTTAAAGAACTAAATACATAAAGAGATAGAATTAGTTTGTGGGTTGAAAGACTTAAAATAGTCTTATTAAGATGTCAATTCTTCCCAAATGGATCTGTAGATTCAACACAATCTCAGCCAAAATTCCAGCAGCCATCTTTGTAAAAAGTTAGAAAATGATTCTAAAATTCACATAAAAATGCAAAGGACCTAGAATATCCAAAACAACTTTGAAAAACAAAGTTGAAGACTAACACTACCTCATTTCAAGAATTATTATAAAGCCATAGTAATCAAGATAGTAAAATGAATTTGGATTCCAGGCCTGGTTCTAGCATGAAAAGGCAATGAGATGAATAATAAATGTAGTTTGAATACTCCGTATGTGTCTGACTGTTCTTTAAGAAAACCTAAAGATAACTATTTTTTTAAATTAGACATTTCCCTATAGGAAATATAGTACCCAAAGGAAGTAATTAATTATTGCATTTTCTTGGTTGAAATATCATTGTTAAAGCATTCTTTGAACAAAATATGTAACCAAAGGATTAACTATCTCTATATTGTTATTGTATTATAATGACCCTAGGAAGCAATATTACTTTTGGATAGTATATATTTTTAAAAATCTAAAACATCTAAACCTCTAGTTTTTCAATAAGATTTTTGAAAGGTTTAGTATTAACTGAGAGGGCAAATTCATCTCAAAAATATCAACACTAGCTCAGTAAGTCATTTTACTTACAAAAATGAACTGGGATTGGAATTCTTCAATACACGAGGAAGCACCAACACGTTGGTGATTGTGGTTTGTGACCGGAAGGGTTTTGAGGGTGAAGTTTTTCCTACAATGAAGCTTTTCTCTTTTCCCCTGTTAAGAACAGTTAATAAAAAATTATTGTACATACTTCTGTCCTGGTTTATATTTTTATTCCTTCTTAACTTTGTGTAATAAAATTAATACGTTTCTTTTCATGGAAACTACTTTTAAAAGTCAGTAAATTTAAATTCCACTGAGATTATTTTAAAGGAACTTCCCCAAAATAACTCTAAAGTTCAACTAGAAACACAAATTTTCCTAAAAAAGTACAGTGATGATGAGGGAAGATATGCCCTTCCAACTATTACACAGTAACAATAGTAAAAAATTTGCTACTCTCTGAGACAGAAAAATCTAGAAATAGATCAAGTAGATAAAAACCTTTAGAATAAAAAAATGGCATTCTAAATAAGTGGAGAGTCATGTAAAAATAATCTAAGAAAAACAGTTATATCCTTTATACATAATAAAAAATGATGAAATTTTAAGTACTGAAAATTTATGTAAAGACGAAAACCATGAAGAACTAGAAAAAAATATAGGGAATATTTATGTAATCTTAATGTGGAGAAGACTAAGGTCAGACAACACATGAGAAAATATAGAATTGATTACTTAACAAAAAAGTAGGAGTTTCAAAAAACAAAACAAATTAACCCCATTATAACTAAGAACACCACAAAGTAACTGCAACACATAGATGGCAGTTAAATGATTCATATCTTCAATACGGTATTTTACAAGAGCTTAGAAAAAGATGAAAATAAAAGAGGACCTGAATAAGTAACTCACAGATACACAAAAAGAAATACAAATGGCTAATAAACACATGAAAAAATGTAGAAACTCACTACTATTCAAAGATGAATTAAAACAATGATGCCATTATTGCCTATCAATTTTAGCAAAGATTAAAAACACAACTAATACTGAGGATTAGAGTGGACAGACATTTGTATGCATTGCTAGTAGGGGAGATTGGTATAAGCTTTGTGGTAGGCCTTCAGGAGATCTGTATCAAAGTGCAAAAGTCTTAAAAATGTGTATAATTTTTGATGCAACAATTTTATTTCCAGGAATTTAGATTGAGGAAATAAGGATATGTACAAAGATTCAGCTACAATAATGTTCATTATGGTGCTGTTTAAAATAGTGAAAGATGATATCTATATACAATAGTGAGGACTAATTACATAAACTATTGTTCATACATAGGATCAACTGCTATATGTCATTAAAAATGTTCTATAAAGCTGACACCACTAAGTACTAGCAAGGATTAGGAACCAGAATAACTTTTATATGCTGATGGTGGGACTATAAATTGGCAAACCACTTTGGAAAATTATGGCAATATCTATTCTAGCTGAACATACACATCCCTAGGACCCAGCAATTCCACTTCTAACAGAAGTGTACATACTCTGCAGAAATGTGTACATAAGTGCATCGGAAGAAATGGACAAAAATGTTTGTAGTTGTACCACTTATAATAGCCCCAAAGTGAAAATGACCCAAATGTCCATCAACAGAAAAATGGAAAATTATAGTTTATTTATTCCATAGAATATTATAGCGAAAAAAAAAATAAATGGACAACTATTACATGCTTCAATGTGGATGAATCACACAAACAAAATGAGCTAAAGCAGCCGGAATTTATTTAAATAAGTGATAGAAGTCAGGACAGCAGTTACCTTTGGGGGTGTAAAGGTTGGAAAAGAACATGAGGAAGGCTTCTAGGGCACTGGTAATATTCTATATCTTGGTCTGAGGGGAATTACATGAATGTATTCACTTTGCAAAAATTCACTGGTCTATATTATACACTTATGATGTGTGCACATGTCCATATATATTATAGCTCAATGTAAAATTTAGTTTAAAAAACTGATGTTCTATATAATAGTTTCTTAAAAATGTGATCCATAGGTCTTCAACACAATCATGTGGGGTGCTTGTTAAAAAGTGCAGATTCCTAGACTCTAACCCAAACTTACTGAATCAAATTCTCTGAAAGAAAGGCACAGGATTCTACATTTAAACAAGCTCCCTGGATAAGTCTTATGTAGATTAAAGTTTTAAAGCCACTGTTGTGAAAAAATATTTAACATCATAGAAAACAGTAGTTAAGAGTGGATTCTGGAGCCAAAATACCTGGGTTCAAATCCAGCTTCTGCCATTTAACAGCTGTGTGACCTGGGGAAGGTATTTCAGCTCTCTGGGTCTCAGTTTCTTCAAGTGGTAAAATGAGAATAATTATAGTATTTATCAAATATGATGGTTGTGAGGACTAAATGAGTGAATATATATGTAACGTGCTTACAATAGTACCTGGCACATAGTAAGCACTATATGTCATTAAAAGAAATAGAAGCAAATAAAAAAGGGATATATATACAGTGTAATTCTATTTTTGTAAGACTATATACAGATGAATTTATATACAAATGACTGGAAAGATACATTATCAGAGTGTTAACAGTATTATCTCTGGATTATACTATTCTTTTTTCTTTACCACTAATTTCCTATAATGAAAAATTTCTTTATTAGTAAATAGTTTTTGAATAGTAAATCATGGTTCATTTATTAGGCCCACATTATTAAGGTCCTCAAAAAATAGATGACACCTTACCATAGGGGAAAAAACTGCTTTAGAGCAAATTACACAAGATATTATTCATTTATTAATACAGAAGAAAGTAAGGCAGTCTCTACTTGATAACTCAGATACTGCAATAGGAAAAACTGCAGAAAGTGACCAAGACCACATAGGAGCAGGCACACTTTTGCAATGACCTCTCTCGTTTCCAATTCTCAGGAAGGAGCAACCTTTCAATGGAGGTTCATTACTATTGTGGAAACCCATAGGCTCTCCCTGACTTGTCCAAATCGAAATCAGTCAGTCTATAGTTTCTGGAAGCAAATACACTTCCAGGTATATGAAGTCAAGAGAGGTACTGAGGGTGAGGCAGCCAATCCATGGCACTAATATAACCGAGAAAAAACACAGAATTCAACTAGAGTTTACTTATACAATCTTTTTATTTTCTTTTTTTGACCTCTCTCCTTTCCTTCTCCTGTTCTTATCTTTTGGTTTTCTTCCTTTCAGTTCCATCTAGGCTTTAAGCTTGAATGTGGCTCTCAAAGCATACTTTGGTACTGTTAGAGGATCTGTTCTTCACTTTTGTTCCAGTGTGAGGGGGACTGCCAACTTGGAAGTTCACTTTAACCCTCTTATGTTCCTCCATTTTTAAGACATGAATCTTGAAATATGCCAACTCTTAAGGTCAGTCCACTTCATCAAATCTTAGTAATGTATAAATATTTCTGAGTGACTACTGGTATAATACTCTTACTACTCATTACGAAAGCTGAAGTAGTTTACGAATTTAGAAACAAAGAAAGGACTTCAAATGAATAAACAAATGATAAAAATGTTAGCAAGTGTGGTGAAGCTTCTGCAACTGTACCATAAAGAGTGAGTAATGATGGTAAGCAGTATCTCATAAACAAACCTGTAAGTGAGATGGGGAATCAAAGATAGACGGTATGACTCCAGGTTTCAGTTTAATATTTGGAGCACTTCTGTCAAAATCTGTCTTCTTAAAGTGCCTTGAACACAACACATCTCCTTTTTTAGGCTCCCAAATGCCTGCAGCATTCACATCAAGTCTTTTCATTGCTAATACCCATTTTCTTTTGATGTTTTCATCTGTGGGGAATCTAGAAAAAAAATTACAGAAAGTATTTTTAAATTAAACACTATAGATATTATACTTGAATTAAAGCTGTAACTAAATTGACTCCTTAACTAGTTTGTTATTAATGGAATATTTAGGAAACTATCAAGATTCATGCTTTCATAACTTTCAGTTTTAATAGTAAAATTTTTCCACCAATCATGCTGCAGACAAATGGCCCTCATTTAAATTTTTCTCATAAAGAAAAAAAATTGTAAAGGATATTTACACCTTATGTAAGATCCAAAATTTAAGGTTTTTCTTTGTCCATAGATGATAAAGAATATCACTTGGGCCTTTTCCTATGTGAAATGATATCCAGAATTTATCCCAAATGAACAACAGAGCTCCTTATACTTTCATTCTTCCAACAGCATTAGAAAATTGCTTAGGATAGCATTTAATACACAATAGGTCTATAACTGCTTGGTGAATGAATGCATAGAACACCTGCAGAGTTTGGAGTTCTAGAGATCAGAATTATTTTGAGATCTAGAGGCAAATAACCATATCTTTTTCAATTTTCTAAGCTAATTCAAATCCTTTCCTGAATATGGTAAGGTACACATACTCATTTTTTTGGTTTCCTTATATCTAGCAAAGTAGTTAGCAGATCTTTCTCTAGCACATAGCACAGTGCCTAACACAAAAGCAGCAAAATAAATGTTTAGCAAATGAATAATTATTTAATCTTATTGTTCCTTTCCTATGCTGTCATGATGAGGCATAGCTAAAATACTAAACTAGGATCATTTTGATTTATCTGCAATACAACTAAAGAACCCTTGGTCTGAACTTGTAATTTATATTTTCTCTCTACAACCTAGGCTTGACCTATTTCTAAACAAAATGACAGAACACACTGGCAAAGATCCTTCCTTCGTTCAGATTGTAAACTACATGTAAACAACACTGAATTTCTTTGAAAGTACGTTAAAATGCAAAGTAACATTAACCAATATGTTTGATATGTTTTGTTAACCAGCCTCTGATACCTTGGCAGGTATCTTAAACTTCTAAATTAATTATAAATGGTGTAAAAGGATCACTGTCACTTCAAATTTAACTAAAAAGGTTATTTAGAAAAGAACCTGGGCACTAAAGTTCAAAATTGAAGATTTAAATAGAACTGCCTTTTGCTTTTTATAAAAATCAAAAATACTTGGCTCAACTACAGCAAAATCTTACACGTGAAATGTCAGTCCTTTTAACTTGGAATTTGGCAAACAGCGAGAAGCACATCCAATGGCCGAGCAACATTTCACCATGATTTTAGCAACTCATAACACAACTGAAAGAAAATTAAAATGGTCAGTTAGTAACTTCAAAGCTAAGGGGAACATATTTACCTTACTCGTCGTATTTTAATAATGTGAACTCAGAAAGCCAAAAGCAAATATTTTCTTCCAACACCTGAGCTTTGCTCATAAAATTTTCTAGGGACTGATCTTTAATAAGGCAAGTCACATTTAGCTATGCACTCTAAGACGTCTGATTTTAATTTCGTAGACTTGTACATTTCACTTCCACTGCTTCTTACAGGTACCACATTCCCTCTGTCTTGACTTTTGTATACTAACTCTTCCTGGCATACTAACTCGTCACCTTTCAGCTCAAATGTTGCTTCCCCAGGGAAACCTTCCCGACACCCAGACTAAGTCATATCCCCTCTAGTCCTAGTCCTTCTCAAAGCTGTACTCATATTTATTTCAGAGATTCTGATTAGTCTTTCTTCGTCACCAGTCTGAGTTCATGATGGCATGGTGGGGTGTTTTTCTCACTTTTGTCCCCACGGCTTAGCTGGTGACTCGCACAGAGTAGATGTTACTACATATTTTGAAGGAAGAGCAAGTAAAAGGGAATAAGGAAGAAGCAGTTTCAGGCGCTGGCGAATGTCTGGGCGACCAGCAGTAGCAGAGCGCTCGCGGGTATCCGCTCGGAGCCCAGAGGCCCGGCCGAGCTCCGCCCCTTTCTCGAGGCTCCCGGCCCCCTCAGGGAGAGAGGGAGGGGCCGCCCTGTCAGAGGTGCAGAGGCGGCCAGATAGGGTCCCTTTCCCGGGGCTGCTGGGCGTCTCTGCGCCTCTGCGGTCCTCCTCGCCCCGAACAACGCCCACGGTTTGGGCGGGTAGCTATGGGGGAGGGAAAAGAAGAGGCAACCTAAGAGTTATTACCGTTAGCAGCGAAGGTAGCGACTAACGTCGACGACAGAGATTTTGTCTCCCTTCCCTTCCGCCCCGTCGCCCCGGGAACCGGAAATCCGGCCGCCCCGTGTCACGTGCTCAGCCGCCATATTGGCTTTGGTGGCAGCTGCAGCCGGGAGGGGGTGTGCTAGAGCGGCGGTGCTTCCCTGGGCGTAGTTTCCATCCTGGGAGAAGGGTCTTGGAGTGTGAGGGGAGGTGGAAGAGATGGCGGCCTTGGCGCGGGAAGATGGCGCCCGAGGCCGAGAGCAAGGGCGGCGAGGCTGCGAGCACTATGACAGAGGATGTCTCCTGAAGGTGACGACTTCATTGGGCTCTTCCTCTACGAGCTTCCGCCGGGCCGGGCTGGGGGCGGGGTGGGAAGGTGGTTAGGTTTGGGCTTAAGTTTGAGGCTAAGTTGTTTTTCAGAATATCTTCTTCACCTTGAACTGGATTCCTGTTGTAGAGAATGATTTTGGCAAGGCGTCCAGAGTCCCTACCTTTCTTCCTGGTTTGTAATTTGCAAGCAGAGCCCTTGCTTGGGAAGAGTCTGGGCTTGCAGTCGATCATTTTGTCAGTGTGTTTATTACTTAGTCTTTTACTGCTGGAAGTAGACTGAGGCAGCCATGGGCCTGTGCTGGCTTTTCTCCAGGATCCCTTTCAGGTGTGTGATGAAATAATGGAAGAGGGATAAGCAAGTGGAGACTAGGAATACTATTTTAGCTCCTGTGGTTTTACAGTTCGCCAGCTTCATTTTAGAGTCAGTGAGTATTCCTAAACCTGCCAAGAAGAAAATGTATGTGTGAAATAGGAATACCGTCATATAATTGCCACTCAGTAGGAAATTATGGATAAGACTGTGCCTAGTATGTATATATTGTTACTTTGGCTGTTACTTTATTTTGAGAAAAATTCCTAGTCAATCTAGAATTTTTAAAATTGGCACCCATCCAATTAAAGTTTTCTGATTTTCTTTCATGCAAGAAGCAGTTAAAAGATTTTGCTTAGAAAGCTTTGGAGTCCCACAGCCCTACACCCAAATTTTAGTTCTGTTCCTTAATAACTCAGTGTTTTTTAGCAAACTATTCTTCAAGTGCCCCATAAGTAAAATATGGGTAATAGAAGTTCCTGTTTCATAAGATAGTATGAGACCTGTAAGGACAACCTAAAGTTATTTCTGTAGGCCATTGTTTGGTGAGCATTCCTCCATTGCACTCAATGAAGCTCTTTCAAAGTTGGTCATTCATGAAGTGTGTAAAAAATTGAATGCTATCCTTAGGATTCCATTTCATTTAGATGGTCTGTTACTTTCAAACTTGAGATCTAAAACCTAATTCAGCATATTTTTCCTACCCCCAACTCCCAAGTAACCATACAGATAATTGTGTTTCATAGCACTAAGATACTGGGCCCTGAATATTAAATGTTTTTTTGTCCTCCACTTCTGTCTTCTCCTTAAATACCAGATGCCAAGTGAAGAGTTTTTAGAAGGAAGTACCCAACAAAATCACATGCTGCTGTTTGAATAAAATAAGAACTAAAAATTGACTTAAATTTGACAAGGAGGAGATAACTGGTGACCTCGAGAAGTTTCTGTAGATATATTGGATGGATTCAAGAGAGATTGGGAGAACTGGAAATAGCCTTTATAGACAATTCTTGGAGTTTTTCTGTAAAAGCAGAAATATCTGTAGTTGCTGGGAGATATGTGGTCATGGGATTATTTTCCATTTAAGATGAGAGGTATTGCAGCATGTTTTTATATTCTTGGAAGTGACCCAGTAAAGTGAGAACATTTTATAATGCAGGAGGGAGAGGGAAAACTGTGGGAGCACTGTCCTCGAGTAGCCAAAGAGAAATGGGATCCAGTATGCCAGTGGAGGAGTTAGCCTTAAAAACATGGACTATAGATTCTGTAATAGAAAAGAAGGCATAGTGTGAGGCACATTTGCAAGTAGTTGATAGAATTGGTGGGAGGATGTTCTCTTAATCATTTCTCCTGTTTTTATAGTAGAAATAAGCAAAGTCATCAGTGGAGTTAAGAGGGGAGGAAGAGGTGTTCAGGGTTTAAAGAGAGAGATTTGAAATAATCATCTGGGTTTTAGGTCCTAGACTGAAAAAGTGTGGGGATCGACTAGGGAAACATGACAATAAGAGCCCACTTTTTATTAGTGGTTATGACTTTAAAGTGAGACCAGTGTTGGAGTGCTTTTTTTTTGGCCATATTCAGCTGTTCTATACAGGTTAAATAGAAAAGAATTGGATTTAACCAGTTGAGATTCTGAGAGAGTGAGTATGTAGAGGAAGAGAGAAGGAACTAGGGTGTGTGCAAGGGAAGAATTGGAGTCGGAAAGAGAGGAGGTAGTGTTCAGAGAATTTTATGCTTGGAGTTACGATATAAACTGGATTCAGTTCTTGTTCTAGAGCAGAGGTTCTCACAGTGTGGTGAATCGACCTTTGGTTTCCTGAGGCCCTTTCAGGGAATCCTCAAGGTCAAAACTACTTTCTAATACTGAAGCAGCATTTCTTTTTTAGTTTGTGCAAAACTAATGATTGAAAATGCTGGCACCTTAGCACGAATAAGGCAGTGGCACTGAACTGAACTGTGCTACACCTATAGTTTTTTTTTTTTTTTTTTTAAGGCAGTTTTACTTAATGTCAGTGATAAAGCAGTAAAATTATTTTATAAAATCTTATCCCTTGAATATGTGTTTTTACATATTTGATGAAATGGGATATTTGCATCAAACACTAATGAAATTAGGTGGTTTTGTGAGGAAAAGCTCTTGTGCAGTTAGATTGCTAACAACCCAGTTGCATTTTTCCTGGAACAACATTTTTTTACTTGAACTATGGTTATTCAGGATTGGATATTTGGTGGACATTTTCTCAGAAAGGAGGGAATTGAGACTGTCATTACAAAGAAAACGGTTGACAGTGATAAAATTCAAGCTTTCATCTAAAGATTAGAATTTTAGAAAACTTGAATTAGCCTCTGTGAGCTTGAAAGCTTTTCAGTCCCTAAAGACTTTGCTAATGAGATGGATAGTGATATTAATGAATGTGATTTTTGATATTGCATGTCAAATGTAACATTTGGAAGATCTACATAACTTAGTGAACTGATACTTTCTAAACGACCAATGCATGGGTAAAAGATCCATTCAAAGTGCAAGATCAATGGATTTTAATGTAACAGAGGGAGAAAAGTTTACTGATGTGATTTGAATCCATGTTGCAACTAACCATTTATAAGAGTTGTTGAGTTTTGCTGTAGTATCAGAAGAATATCCATAATTCTCTATAAAAGCTATTAAAGTACTTCTCCCTTTTCCAACTACATATGTATGTGAGGCCAGAATTTCTTCACATACTTCAACTGAAACTGATTGAATGCAGAAGCAGAACTGAGAATCCAGTGATTTGGGGGAAAATATAATGTATTTTTCATTAAAACATGTTAACATTTATGTTAAGATGTCATGGGTTTGTTACTGTTCTTTTAAACAGAAGTAATGAATATTTAAAAACCTATCAGTTTTAGTTTATAATATGTTAAGTATCGATAGATATAATTAACATAAACAAGAGCTCTCTGGGATCCTCAGTAATTTCTAAGAATGTAAATGGGTCCTAAGACCAAAACGTTTGAGAACCACTGTTCTACGGTATGGCAGAATATGTGACTGAGGAAGGTTGGAGGACAGGGCCATTGGAAGTGAAGACAGTCAAGGAATTGAGAGTTTGGGATATTGGAAGTATTGTCATTGTGGATGTGCAGATCACTTAGATTTAGGACAAGAGTAGTATTGGAGAGAAAAGCAGCCAGTTGAGTGTTAAAATCTTTAAGGAATGAACTATATTATGGTAAGTCATGGCACAAGGTGTCTTAAGAAATGAGTAGATCTGAAAGGTCACAGTGTACTGGAAAGTTGGTTTGGCTTACTGGCTTGGAAACTTCTTGATGTACAAGTTAAGGTAAGGCTTAATTGCTGTAACAAAAAGACTGAATGGTAAGGTAGGTTAAAGAATAATGAGTTTTCTTCTTTTCACCTAGCAATTCCAAGGTGAGTAGATCCTGTTTGGTGACGAGGCTCTGTTCCACATGATCACTCCAGGGACAAGATTTTTAGTTTTGTATTATTTTGCCATGTTTTAGGGCATATAGTTATCAGCTGGGTTGCTGTCATGTCCAGGTTTCATCTTAAGAGAAGGAAAAAGGGAACATGAAGGAGTCATGCCTAGTTTCTTAATATTCAGGATCAAGAGTGGCACTGATTTTTTCTCATATTCTGTTGGTAGGAACTTAGTCATTTGGCCACAACTAACAGAAAGGGGGATCATGTACCCAGGTAGAAGGAGAGCATAGATTCTGGTAGACAACTGGCATTTTTGCCACTCTTGAAAACAAGGGCTATTTCTTAAATTTATTGCATCCTCTAAAATATCAGGCATATAGTTGACGATTAATAAACACAAATGAACTAAAATATAATCTTTATAATATTTAATGTTTAGGGATTGAAATAGGAAAATGAATTTATCTAGAAATGTTTGTAAGAAGATGTTGCCTGTCTGCCATTTAGCTGAGAATGAGTTTAGGGTGTTTTGGGCTTTGTTTTTCAGTCTAGGGATTTCCATCCTTCATGCTTCTTTTGTCTTTGAGAACGAGGTTGTGTTCAACTTATACAGACATACAGATGTTGAAGAGAATAGTCAAAATGTGCCAAGAAACAGTGAAATGTTACGTTTAGGATCAGTTTACTCAACTGATCTATTGGTTGTAATCTTTGACATTGTTCCAGGAGCAGGAGGAAGAAATTTTCATTTTGCATTGCAAACTTGTCTTATTATAACTCTCTTTCTCCCATGGGTGTTAGGCACCTTGCTGTGACAAGCTTTATACTTGCCGGTTGTGTCATGATAACATGGAAGATCATCAGCTAGATCGCTTTAAAGTAAAGGAAGTACAGTGCATAAACTGTGAAAAAATTCAACATGTAAGATTTTATCATTTCTATTTTCTTTTTAAATTTTTATTAAGATTTAAAAAATTAAGAGAATTACAAGTAAGACAACTTTCAAAGTAAGCAATATCTTTGATTTAAATGTTTAAAAACTTGTGAAAGTAAAACTGCATATACTTTAACATGGATATTCAAATAGTAATTTAAACTATTATGGTAAATTTATCGCAAATTTAATTACATGTGTATTTTTTAGGCCCAACAGTTTTGTGAAGAATGTAGCACATTGTTTGGAGAATATTATTGCAGCATATGCCATCTGTTTGACAAAGACAAGAAGCAGTATCATTGTGAAAACTGTGGAATTTGTAGGTACTGTATGTAAAATGTTCTTTTCTAATTATTTCTAAGTATCTGGGCAGTAATAGCTTTTAAAAATCAACTTTATTGGAATATAATTTACATTGAATAAAATGCATTTATTTTGTGTCCAATTCAGTAAATTTTGACATATATACATATACATATATATATGTATATATACATATATACATATACACATATATATGTCAAAATTATACATAAATACATACATACACACATATATATGTCATACATATATATACACACGCATATATATATGTTACTATCAATACAGTCAATATAATGTGTGTGTATATATATATATACGTATATACATATGTATATATATACGTATATGTATATATACGTATATACATATACGTATATATATATACACACACATATATGTCAAAATTATACATAAATACATATACACACACATATATATGTCATACATATATATACACACACATATATATATGTTACTATCAATACAGTCAATATAAAAAAACATTTCCATTCTAAAACGTTTCTTTATGCTTCTTTTGCAATAATCACTTAATTAGCCCACAAATGATTGTGAGGCTATTTAATATTTTAACTTTGGGAAATAAAATATGCTTGTATATAAAGTGTTTTGTAGGCAACTAAGGTAGATAATTAGGGTGGATTTTTCCTTTTTAAAAACTAGTTTTTAAAAAGATTATCAAAAATTTTGATAAAATCAAAAAATACAGAAAAGTAGAAATAAGTAAAATAAAATAGCCTATAGTCCAACCACCCAATGACAAGCTACTACTAACGTGTTGGTATATAAAAATTTTTTTCTTTCTAAAAATTCCTGAAGTATTAAATATATACAGAAGCATATATGTAACATATAGGTTTTAAAGTATAATAATGCAACAAACAAGCCACTTCGTTTAAGAAATAGAATGTTAACTAATATCATTGGTGCTCTAGGTGTTCTATATCAGCCCTTTCTTGTTCCATTGGAGATAACCACTGTTTTGAACATTTTAAATCACTTTCTTGCTTTTATTTTATAGTTTGTTTTTCAGGAAGAATAACAGACATACCAAAAGATGCAGTAATCATAAGCAAATAGCCCTATGAGTTTGCTTATGAACACACCCTTTTAATCATCACCCAGATCAAAAAAAAGAATATTCATAATACCTTAGTAGCATTTCTTATGCCCTTGCCAAATCAAAACACTTCCCCAAAGGTAACCACTCTTCTGACTTTTTGTACTTTTCATAAATGAAATCGTGTAGTACATCCTCTTTTTTGTTTTGTTTTGTATATTTTAAGGCAATATTATTAGGTGCTTACATAGAATTGTTATATTTTCCTTTATGATTGACTCATTTATCATTATATAATGTGTCCTTTTATCTTTAGTGCTGTTTCCTGCCTTAAGACCCACTGTATTTATATCAGTTTTCTTTTGCTTAGTTTCTTGTCTTAAAATCTGTATCAGTTTTCTTTTGATTAGTTTTTGCATGTATATCCTTTATCATTTATTTTCAAACATTTTGTGTACTTATATTTAAGGCATGTATATTGTAAGCAGATTAGAGTTGAGTTTTATGTTTTTATTGAGTTTAATAGACTAGTTTTTTGCTAAAGTAGTTAGTTCATTTATTAATATAATTATATATTTTTATTTACATTTTTAATATTTTCTGTTGCCTTAATTATCTGTTGTCTTTTTTTTCTCTTTCTTGCCTTTTGGATTAATCAGCATTTTTTCTATTCTGTTTCTATTCTCTGTAAGCTTATTAGTTATACATTCTTTTATTTATATATTAGTGTTTATATTGGAAATTATAATAAATATCTTATAATATACAATGTATTATATGTAGTATATAATACATAATATGTATATCTAGCATAATATGTTTATCATTTCTTGGACGATGCAAGAACCTTAAACACTAAGAGGATTTACATACGATTGTTGTCATGTATTTTAATCTATGTATAGTTTAAACTCTGTAAGACATTGTTTTGAATAGTCAGTATTCTCTTATATTTACTTACATATTTACCATTTCTGTTGCTCTTCTTTCTGCAGCTCCTTTATCTTTGGCATTATTTTGCTTCTGCTTAAAGAATTCTCTTTAGCATTACTTTTAATGAGGCTCTATTGATTTTTATTTTTTCTCTTTGAAAATGCCTTTATTTTGCCTTCATTTGTAAATTTTATCTTTGCTGGGTGTAGAATTCTAAGTTGACAGTTTCAGCACTTTAAAGATGTTCTGTGGCATTGTTTTATGTGTAAAGGTCATGCTACAGGATTATTATTGCCTCTTTGAAGTAATCTGTCTGTTATACTCCTTTTAATGTTTTTAAGTCATTAATTTTTAGTAGTTTTTCCATGGTGCGATCAGATACGATATTTATCTGTCTTGCAATTTGTAGAATTTCTCGTATCTGTGGCTTGATGTCTTATGTCAGTTTTGAAATGTTCTTGGTTGGTTAATGGTTTTTGAAATATTTTTTGCCAGATAATTATCTTCAGGTAATATTTCTGCCCTGTTCTCTTGCCTCTCTTAGGACTCTAGGTACAGACTTTTTCACTATGCCCATATCCCTCTTACATTTTTTTTCCTATATATTTTTTCCCTTTGTGCTGAAATTGGATAGTTTCTACTGATGTTTCTTCCAGGTCTCTGTTCTACTGTGTTGAACCTGCTGTTAAACCTACTGAGTTTTTCATTTAAGGTTTTCTTTAAATTATAGAATTTATACTAATCACTGCCCCCATAGTTTCCAGTTCTTACATGAAATTCTTCACTTTTTTTCTTGAACGTATTAATCAGATAATTTAAAGGCTATGCCTGATAACTTAATATCTTGCTTGAGAGCCTGTTCTGTTTTTACCCCTCTTGGTGTTTGGTTCTTTGGTTCTGCTTTTTAGTATGCTTGATGGATAGCTAATAATAATAAATTAAAAAATAAAAATAAAAAGTGTATATTTAGTTATTGGACATAATATGTAGAAAATTATGTAAGTCTGGGTGCTATTTTTGTGCAGATAATTTTCTTTTGGTAGGCAGCTAATAAAGACATAGATCACCTTAATCCAATTAAAGATTGAGATAATTAAAGGCTATATGTTTCAGTTATAAGTCCTTTTCTATTTTGTTTTCCCTTATACTCAAGCTCTTAGGACATAGTCCTTCATGAGTCTTGACTGTAAAACCTGGGGTGTTTACCAGGACATTTATTTTGTGGTGGGACCTTAACTCCAGTTTTTGCCTCCCTAGCACAAAGAATCAGAGGCTTTACAGTACTTGGTTTCTTAGCCTCTTACCTGCTGCTTAGGTTGTTACCTTGTCACAGCATACTCTGGGGTCTGCATATCCCTCGAGGAGGAAGCAGAGATTTGGCTGTGTCTCAGTATATTTCCCTTTTCTCTGGGCTGTTGACTCTTTAAGCCCTCAGTTGCTCGTCACTGCTTTCAGTTTTTTATCTTTAAATCCAAGCTTTTTAGTTTTCAGTAGGAGCTTTGGTTTTATACAGGCTACTTTATCATCATGGAGTAGGAGTTATATATATTTAGTTTTGCTTATTTTAAAAATTATACTGTGTACATTTTTCTGTGGCTTTTTAAAAACAATTGAGCCTTGTCTCTAAGATTCATCCTATTTGATTCATGAGCTTCAGTTCATTTTCATTACTGTGCAGTGTTATTTTGTATGTCAGATCTGCATGTAGTATTTAATTACCACTATCACAGCCGAGAAATCACATTTTATAGTTTATTGATTGACTTTCAAGTTGTTGAGACTGCAAAGTACACATCTCCTCCTACCTAGTATATATTAAGCTTCATGAGATCAATATTTTCAAAATTTAAATTTCTATACCTGGTAAATATTAAGCTTCATTAGATAAGGTATTTTCAGAGTTTAAATTCTGATACTGGGGAGTGCTTTGTATACAGTAGATGCTCAATAATGTGTAGGCAGTGTACCTTTTGCAAAATGTTTTGGTATGATTTTTCTGTATATGAGGAAAATTCGTCATCAGAATTTGCCATCTAAGTCTAATTGATGTTTTTTAATTTTTTAATATTTTTAAGTCCTTTTAAAGGTAGTGAAAGTAACTTCACTGAAAATTTTAATAAGAATTTAAACATTGCAAATCTAAATTTTCATTTCATATTTTTCTAGTTTTGAAGATATATGTGCTAAATTGGCAATATCCTTTGAAGATAAATATTTACTGATCATTTGTCATGTATGAACCTGGCACATGTCCATCTTGTGAATAACTGATTCCTGGTTTTAAATACAATTCTAATAGATTACAATTACTCTCGTTCTTCTTGCACTTGTGTCATCAGAGTATAATACTGACTCCAGATCTCAAATACATTACAAATAGATTCTGGTTTATCATTACTTCTGTGTATGCATTGCCAAATTTAATGCTTTTGTAACTTTTAAAAGCTCATTATTTTGTCGAAAGGTGGATGTCTTATCTCTATATAGCAAAACATTTTTTATTTTAAGATTTACAGACACTTATCAGGATGATCAGTCCTATGAATTTTTTCAGTTTTTACATCATCTGTTTCCTTCCAAGTGCTTTTATACACACACTTTCCTTCATTTGTCCACTTCTGAGCCGTATTTGGTGTACACATATAAAAGATGGAAAATTGCGGTCCTACATCTTTTAGCAGAATGGGATGGTCCAGGTTCTTGACACAAAATATTTTGAATTGAAGTCCTTCCTATTGAATGACTACTAGTGAGGATACCATATTTTCTTTTTGTCCTTAGAGATGTATTGTTCATTCATTTTCTTGAATGAGACCATTCATCTAAGAGGATATCATTTGACGATAAACTATGATATGATTTATATGATAAATTGCTTATATGATAATTTGCCAACATCATTAGAGTCTACAACAGTGATTTTCAACCAGGGACGATTTTGCCCCCAGAGATTATTTAGCAATGTCTGGAGACCTTTTTGGTTGTTAA